AGGGAGTAACATTGGAAGTACTTTTACTACTTGAGTTACTTTAATCAGGGAGTAATGCGGTAAAGTAACTCGTTACTTTAAGAAAGTAACGCAGTAAAGTACTTTGATTACTTTTAAAGTAACCCTTACCCAACTCTGGTCACTGAATGTTTTTGATAGTCTATTTTAATGCTTAAATTTGAATTCATGGAGAATGCAAAGAATGGCCTTGTGATCTTGGTTGAAATGTTCTTCCTAGTTGTTCTTGGAAGAATGGACTCGCAAGGTCATAAGCTCACAGAAGACAGTTGAAAGTTCGAGACAATGCCTTCTTGCTGGTGTTGCGCAATACTATCATCACAGAGGCCGTCTGCAGTGCTCTAAAATGACACACAGGCTTTATCACTCTATACAATTGGTGTTGTGTATTAGCCGATCCCAAGTTGAGCTCATTACGCCACAACTGTACACAAGGAAAAACAGTCCCCTTTCATAGTGCTTTTAAGTTTTATGAGCCAAGAATTGTACATCACTAACCAAGTGTGGAAGGAAAAAAAAACAAACAAAAAAAAAAAAACAGGAAAGGTTTTTGTTTGTGGTTCACGTATGGTTTAAAGAAGAATAAAGAAGTAAGGTATAATAACTCCATGGGCTCTAGTTTCACAGACTGGGCGTGGCGGGGGCGCAGCGCACCTGCGCTTTGCCAACTGGGTGTGGCCAGGCGGATTTTGTAAGTTTGGTACACCGTGCGCCCTGGTGCAGCTACTCCTCTATCCCACCTCCTGCCCTCCTACCGGCGCAAGTCGGAAAGAGGAGGAGAGAAGGCGTGGAGTGGGTTTTACGCATATCACATCAATCAAATGAGCCCCTCTCCTCGCCCTTAAATGCGCCGCACGAAGGTAGTCAGTCAGTCGCATTGAAGAGTGTTTTTTTGGGGTATTTATTGCATCGTTAATGTGCCTGATATTCTGGAAACCTGCCTGTGAGGTTTTGGTGACGTGTGCGCACTGTCCGCTGGTCAGTCAAACTTTGGCTTACACCAGCTGCGCTCCCCCTGTGCTGACAGTAGACCTGGTTTCAGCTGGCGAGCTTTTAGCGCACCTGTCGACACCTCCCCCTGCTGCGCCACCACACCCATCTCAGCGCACCTCGGTCTGCCAAACTACCAAACTGAGCGCGCCTCGGGTTGCGCTGCTCGAAACTAGCTCTGCGTGGGGTTCGCCACCCTGCGCCACCTGCGCTGCGCCGGGAAACTAGAGCCCTATCCTACAAAAATGCACGCTCAACAGCTCATAAGAAAACCTACGAATAAGCACCCTTTGAATGGTATAATTAAAGTAAAGTTATGGAGGTTAGATTTAGGGATAATGTGGCCTGGGGCACTACAGGGAGAATTAGAAAGCCGGACAAGGCCACCTGAGGACTTACACCCCAGGAAATACTATTTAGGACTTGAATAATGTTGAAAGAATGGATAAGAAGGCACACAGGAACATTACTGAAGAGTCAGAGATGTGATTTTTTCCAAATAACTCAAATGTTTTTATTGTAATAATAATAGTAATAATAATGATAATAATAATAATGATAATAATAATAAAAAATAAAGCAACCAGGGACTGGGGCTGCTGGGGAAAAAGGAATGTTAATGAACAAAGGAAAATACTTAAAGCTGGTAAGCGAAATAAAATACCTTTATTACAATTCACTAAAATAAGGTCTCAATATCAAAGTTAAAAAGTCTGTATAAGAACCCAAATCAACTTAAATATAACTAAAGAAAACTAAGCAGAGGCCACATGTGGAGAGGCAGACTACATGGAGGAGTGTCCAGGGTGCTACCGCTACTCACCTCAGGTGCAACACAGCAAACCTCACAGCAACCTTTACAGCAATCTTCACAGCAAACAAATGGTGCAGTCTAGGGTGTCCCTGTGCAGTTACTCACATGCATAAAGTGAAGGGACCTCACCACAAGTGCTTAGCCCCCCCAAAAAAATATGGCGCTCTGCTCCTGAAAGAAAAAGACTAAATACAAAAAAATGTCAGAAACAAATAACCAAATAAACAGGCAAAGGAAATACAATACGGCAACCCAGTAGTCAATTAAACAATTAATGTAATAAAGTAATAGAATAAAGTAATCAAAATAGCCAAAATGAATTAAAGTATTCAAATAACTGGATACAATAACCCAGTAAATTAAACAAAGGACCCAAGCAAATCAGTAAACTAGTTAAGAAATAAAGTAACCAGGAAATAAACCAATGAACAATGTAATATAACCCAGTTTATTGTTAACAGATATTTAAAGAGGATAACCCAGGAAACTGAACCTTAAAGAAAATCAAAGAAAACCCACTAAATTAAACCCTAACAAAACAAGAAAAATAATGTAACTAAAGTGACTCAATTAATGAACACAAAAGGGGACAAAGCAGCAGTAGGTAGGGCGGGAGAACCTGGAAAAGGGAACAAACTATTAACCAGGCCCAAATTACATTAAAAATTATTAAAGCTGTGCTCCTACTCACCACCTCTAGCTAGGGCATTAAGTCACTTTCAGGGCAGGGAGCAGATAGGGGGTTCCCAAAGTTGCAGCAAACACTCTGAACACAAACAAATCAACCTTTAAAAGAAAAATGCCACTTAACATGGGAATTATGAGAGTTTCTTCACTAATCATACCTGGAGCACAGGACACCAGCCACAGCAGGGACAGAGCAGAAGACCAACTGGCTGAACAATGGCACACAGGTGCCTCATATAACCTGGCCTGATTAGGGAGTTGGTTGGGGGAAGGAGTCAACCTCAGGCTGTGTTCACAATCACCATACTCACACACAACACTAAGGAGAGTATTCCCCACCACAATAAGAAGCATGGTCATGATGTACCTTAAAATGACTCAAAGTTCACTCAGAGTTCACACGGTTCTGAACACACGTCACCTGGAGAAAGTCCTGTGTTTTGTGACCCATTCACTGCCCCAACCTACCTCCTGACAAGACCGCTCGCAACCTCTTCATTGTTTATGCTACACAACATTTTTTTTGTCAGATTAGGCGATTATGGAGTCTTAAAATCTTGCTGTGTATCGTTAAATCATGCCTGATATCGTGTAGTTTAAAGCCAGCATAATGCGGGTCTCAGACGTGGGCATAATACTGGGTTCAGACTACATGATATCAGCCCAAGTATAGCCGTGATGCGGCGTCATACAGTGTCGGTTTGGATCATGAACGACAATGAGTGTTTATACGATAATCTATTTTATCTTGTGTAGTGTGTCATAGTATGCGACAGAAAGTCTAGCATGTTTGACTTTCTTTTTGTTGTTCAAGACTTCTGAACTGTATGACAACAACACGCCAGCCTTTTTTACATTTCCTCTACACGTGCTACCATGACAGAGTAAAAAGGGAAAAATGATGGCATGAAACAGCAGAGGCACTTTAGCAACCGGTGAGTACTGCCATTAGCATCATGCGAACAAAGATTGTTAATTCTTCATAATGGAGGATATAAAGGAATAAAATTCACAAATAGTAGCGGGGTTTTTACTCATCACAACTGCAGAGGGTACCAGCTTTTTCTGAAACAGGCAACAGTAGAAACCGGCCTTTATTTCCAGACACAGGCTTTTATTTTCCATCCCCTCTGTAATTTTGTGTCTATAATTTTAATCTGCTCCCGTTTGTCATGTTGAATTTAATGCACTGCGCTGTCATTTCAAACAAAAGCCCATTGTTTTTACTTGAAGTCTATCTAGAACAGTATTCATTTTGTTGATGAAAACTATGGCGAAAATCTTTCGTCTACAACCTTTTTTTAATGACGACAATGAGACTATGATGAGCAATAAAAACTGCGTCCCCATACTCACACTACTCCTCAAAATTGGCCCTAGCCCTTGTTTTTTGCACGTTCCTGCGAAGGGCTAGGGTGTCCTAAACTTTAGGGAAGTGCTTTTCAGCCATTCAAATCCCCACTTAATTTGAAGGGCTGGGCGATGCACACTTAGGAACCCATCTCAACTGAGGGGAAGATTGAATTTCCTAGGATACATTGCGAAATTATCCAGCCAAGCGAGTTTTCCAGGAAGATGGCAGCTTCCATGAGAAAGCCATCGCACAACTGTAGTACTATTTTCTCAAATAAGCACATAAAAATTCGAACACGAATGCTTGAAAATCACTAATTCACGATGTAGCCGACATGAATATCTACAGAGTTCTCTGTGAAGCCTTTAATGCTGAAACCTACGTCGACGATACGTACGATATAGCCACTGCCGGGATGTTTCACTAGCCACTGAATGGCAGTGGACCAAGCAGCCACCAGCTGCTAGACTTCACAACTGATCTCTGATCTCTGATCACTGCTGGAGGAATACAAGTTTGTCAGTGTGCAGCAATTACTTGTAGTCTAAATGAAATTTTTCTACAACCTGTCAATTCTAATTTCTAATATATGAATTAGTCTAACTGGATTAGTTTAAAGATAAAAAACATAGAGAACATAGACTACAACTAGAGTTAAACTATGAAGGATAAAAATGACTAAAATTTGACAAAAACTAATAAGCATTTTCATCTTAAGACTAAGACGAAATCTAGAATAGCTGTCAAAATAAACACTCATCTAGAAATTCGCAGACTGCAGTTCCCACACATCGTTGCTATAGTGACATGGTCCAAGAGCAAAGTGTTTTGCATCAGCATTCACCCAGTGACTATGTGTATACTGTTGTGTTCACTGGTTTTAACGTTGATGCTAATAAGTGCCCTAAGAAGCCCTAATAAGTGAACTTTGCACAGATCCAACCAGCTGTCTTTATCATCGATTTTTCATCTTTTTATCTCATTAAATGTAGCTCCTTTAACAAGCTTTAACTGGTAAGCAGTGCACTTGATACAGAATAGGAACCTGGACCTCACCTCAACTAACCTTGATTGAAGTGTGTGTGTGTGTGTGTGTGTGCGCGCGCATGTGTGTGTGTGTGTATTGTGGTGTTCTAGGTGTATGAAGTCAAGCAGTCGAGTGGTGTTGTGGAGAAGATCGGCTCCCTGATCAGTAAAGTTGTGGAACCTCTCCATCCTCATGTTGAGGAACATCAACCCAAGAACATTAAACACCTGTCACACACTTTCTCCAGGGAAAAACAACACCTGTAAGTGCGTCTTTTATACTTTGATGGAAAATAGTTGGACCCTTGTAGCTTAAGGGCATCTTTATGCTCAACGTTAATTACATCTACAAAGACTGTACTCTGCGTTCACTTCATCTGTATGTGTGCACGTTTTCTGAAAGCTTATGGATATGGACAAAATGGAGCAGTATCACCAGAGATCGTGGAGACAGTGTTGTGTAGTTCAAGTATGGTACCACCAACAAAAAAATTTAAATAATGGAACAAAAAGAATTGGTAATATAGTGAAAAGAATTCTCCATCCATGTTGTGATGTATTTAATGGCCTCACAGACCAAAATTAATTCATTTTGAATTTATTATTTACTATTTTTCTGTTTTGATTTTTATTATTTTATTTATCTTCCTTTCCTTCTTACTTTTAAACCTAGCTTATTTGATGGTTTATTTACAACTGGACTATGTACACATTTCATTTTATTGTCTTGTTTGGAAAAATACTCAACAATATTTATATACACATCAGTCTCATACTCTCAATTGGAACTATGTTAAATTGAATTGTCCCGATCACAAAAAACAAAACAAAAAAAAAGATGGCTATTATCTTTCAGTGCAGAAACAATGTTGATTGTTCCTGTATTGCTGTCATCTGCCTATCCCTAATAAAAAAGATAAAGAAAAACAAAGTTTGCCTGACACAAGAGGGATTATGCCCATTGAGCTGCTGGAAGATGCTTAGTTTGGAACATGGCAGGGAATGTTTGGTGTCATCGACAAACTTTTTTAACTGTGATCCAAAAATGGCTGACTAGAAGCACCCTAAGGTCTCTTCAAAAATGTTGTGTTACTCTGATATACACTACTGTAGGATGACTGAACTTTAACGCACAAACAGTAACAAGTTTGCATGTTTTTGTGTTTGTGTGTGTGTGTGTGTCTGTGTGCGCGCGCATGCGTGCGTGCGTGTTTGTGTTTCATTAACAGGTTTGACCTCTCAGACAAAGATTACTTCTTTGACAGCAAAACCAGGAGTTCAATAGTAAGTCCACTGAAGTTTGTCTGTGATTTATACACCAACATACTGTATCTAATAACATATCCTGGGCGTCATTTTTGACTCTGAGCTTAATTTTATTCCACACATCAAAAATGTAAGAAAGATAGATTTTTAGCTTCTTAAGAATATAGCCAGAGTCCACCCATGTCTCTCTCAGGCTAACACGGAGGTGCTGATGCATGCTTTTATCTCTTGTTGTTTAGACTATTGTAATGCCCTGCTCTCTGGTCTTCCCAAAAAGACCATCTCTAATCTGCAATTACTTCAAAACTCAGCCGCACGTGTGCTGACGAAGACAAGAGGGCAGGCGCACATTACACCAGTTTTAAAATCGCTGCATTGGCTCCCCGTGTGTTTCAGCATAGATTTTAAGGTTCTTTTATTAGTTTTTAAATGTCTCAACGGTCTTGGGCCATCTTATTTATCTGACCTGCTTTTATCATATCAACCCTCGCAGATCCTAAAGTCCTCTGGCACCGGTCTTTTAGTCATCCCAAAAGTTAGAACAAAAACCCACGGCGAGGCTGCATTCAGCCATTATGGCCTACACTTATGGAATAGCCTGCCAAAGAGCATCAGGACTGCAGAGACTGTTGATGTTTTTAAAAGGAGGCTCAAGACTCACCTTTTAATTTGGCTTTTAACTGATTTCTTCTACTCTTCTTTTATTATTAGTTTTTAGCTCTTTCTATCCTACTTTATTGTCTTTTAGTCTTTTAGGTTTTAGCTCCAGTGTTTCCTCATGGGGGGCCTCCACGCTGGGAGGTGTGTCCGGTCTGCCCGCGGGGAGATCCCTCAGGCCCGGAGGACTGGGGGCTCTGTACCAAGTGCGGAGTCCACCCCGGTCTATCTGGGTTGGGGTGGTCTCTGTGGCGGCACTCACTGTGGCCGTAGGCTGTGGCGCCTCTCGGTGTGGATGGCTCCTCATAGGTGTTTTTTTCCTCACCTGGTGCCTCAGTGCCCTGCCATGTTACTACAGTTAGTGAGTGCTGTGTGTGTGTGTGTGTGTGTGTGTGTGTGTTTTTGTGTGTGTTATATGTGGGGGGTGGGAGGGGCGGTTTTTCATTGTTTTTATTTTGTGAACTGTCAGTATAGTAACATGGCAAGGCACTGAGGCACCAGGTGAGGAAAAAAATGGGAGCTCATCCACACTGAGAGGCGCCACAGCCTACGGCCACAAGGAGTGCCCCCACAGAGACCACCCCAACCCAGACAGACCAGGGTGGACTCCGCACATGGTGCAGAGCCCCCAGTCCTCCGGGCCTGAGGGATCTCCAGGACAAATTTAAAGATTTAGAAAATGTAAGGATTTAAAAAAAAAAAATTAAAAATAAAGAGTTTAAAGTAAATAATAATAAAATACATAATGATTTAAAAGTAGATCATTAAGAACATTAGACATTAAGTAAATAGATAAAAATAAAATATAAAATAAAATATAATAAAAGAAGAGTAGAAGAAATCAGTTAAAAGCCAAATTAAAAAGGTGAGTCTTGAGCCTCCTTTTAAAAACATCAACAGTCTCTGCAGTCCTGATGCTCTTTGGCAGGCTATTCCATAAGTGTAGGCTATTGTTTTCATTGTTTTTATTTTGTAAAGCATTTTGTGTTACATTTTTAATGTATGAAAAGTACTATATAAATAAAGTTTGATTTAGATATTACGCATACCAAGAGATGAAACCTTCCAGTTGTTTGTCAGAAAGACCAGAAATATACTAACAAAAACTAGTTTAGTTTAGTAAAACCTCACAGTTGTCAGTGGTTCCGCCAGTGTATTGGAAGCGCGGCAGCCCACCCAGCCTAAGTGAGATGAGAGATGTTTTCTTAAACTACAAAAAAACCCACCCTGCTAGCATTACAGTGTTAACACACAAACATACATGCACGCACACACGCACACCGAATGAAATTATTAGTTTTTGTTGGTCCAGGGTCAAAGGTCAAGGTTGCTGTGACAGTGACTAATGAACACAATATCTCAGGAACAGCTTGAGGGAATTTCTTCCAATCTGGCACCAAGTCTCATTGATGAAATGATTAGATTTTGGTGGTCATTGGTCAAAGATCAAGAATTCATATGCTAATTATGACAAAACTTCACACAAATGTCTAATAGACCCTTTTACTGTTAGTAAACATTATGACATTTTTGGTGGGTGGGGTTTAGCTGGAGGCAAAACAATTCTCCAGACATTAGCTAGTGCTAGCTGGCGAGTTCTTTTGGCTTGTGTTAGACAGTGAATGAAGATGATATGAGTGGTGCATGCAGACATACTCATCCAAGTGCCGGAGCGTACTCTGGAGTAGGGATAGACCGATATGGATTTTTTTAGGGCTGATGCCGATACCGATTTTTTTCCATCACCCTTAGCCGATGACCGATTATGGACTGCTGATTTTCTTGAGCCGATATTTGGGGCTGATACTGCTTTTGCTCCCTCTATTTACATCAAAAAAATGACACAATGATAACAAATATTACAGGTCTCAAGTTTAAAATACGAAACATTTATTGAACAGTAAAAAATACTAAAACAAGATGGAAAGTTGAGGTAGAACAGGTAGAATATTATTATTATTATTATACATTCAAATAAAAAAAAGAGTTCAGTGCTCTTAAATCTTCCAGTAATGTCTTTATAAAATAAACAAATATTTAAGCTGAAGCATAAATAAAACAATAACTACTGTATGCAGTAGGATTTGCTGCATGTGCGCTGCAGGGTCTTCCGGCAACACAGAGCTGCCCGTGGATGCCTGTCTGTAAATCATGCCAGGGAAAAATAAATCCGCGAACCCACGCGCGTATCGGCCAATGCCGATACAAGTAAAAAACTCAAATATCGGCCCGATATATCGGCCGGCCGATGTATCAGTCTATCCTTACTCTGGAGATAACTGTACTGTTCGTAGCACTGATCTAATGTAGCATTCGGTTATCCAGAGCACCGCACTCTGTCTGTGGAGACAGAGTAGCAGAGCACTGAGCAGGATGAATGTGTGATAAATTTAATTAATTCATATAGAAATATGAAGCTCCGTTTCATTGACCAACAGGGCTCTCATTTTAGTGTAGAGCATCAGACTGAATTTACAAATGCACCATGTCAGGTTACTCACTCTCCGGGACCGCCAGTATTACATGAATAAGTAAACACTGACCTACGGGACCAGACTGGCCGACCTGTATGCTCTCATACAGTGGATGGATGATTTGACAGGATTGCTGAAGGTGGGACGGCCGATTTTGTGGTTGATTACTATGCCAATTTTTCAAAGGAGGACGACACTTCAACAGTTTCCTCCAGTTTGTTTTGCTATTGAGCTAATGTTAGCTAATACACTACAAAGTTAGTGTTACAGAGAAATCCAACATTTCTCTTAATACCTCCCCAATTTCTGATTATGTGGACATGATAACCCTTAATACACATAACATTATTCATCCCTGCAACAGGAAATACTTTCCCCCTAACCTGATGTGAAGTGTGCACTGCACATGTGAGCATTTTTGATGATCGCCTCCATCCACTCCTTTTGTCTTAATGCATTTAGCCATAGTTGTCTTTGTTTTTGTTGACGGGCAGTGTCGGGAGGTATGTGCTAAAATTTAAGTTTCAAGCCATGACTCCTACTATTCTGGCTCCCAATAACACAACAAGACGACATCTAACAAACTGACATCATTGTGATGTGATGTCGGCCCTAAAAGGGTCTATAGGATAAAATAATTAAGTGATGACATTTTATATCCAATAGGTCAAAGGTCAGCTTTACTATGACATCGTAATATTCTGCATAAAACACTTTTCTGGCCATTATTCAGCATCATATCTCAGAAACAGATGGTGAAATATCTGGTCAGATACTGAATTGGTGACACTAATCTTGGGTGTCCACCTTGGAAGTTGTGCTGATTGTATAGATCTTCTGTGCTGCTGGGGGGAAAATGTGTGTGAAACAACCAGGCATACAACCGCAGGGCGGTAATTCTAGTTTCGTTTTTAATCATTCATGAACTTGCACCACATCTGCATCATGTTCCATATGCATATGAGACCAAATGCTACTTCTTACGATTTAAAAAAAAAAAAAAAAAGAACTTAAATGTATTAAATAGCTGTCCGTCCGTCTGTCCGTCTGTCGTCCTCCGCTTATCCGGGTCCGGGTCGCGGGGGCAGCAGCCTCAGCAAAGAAGCCCAGACAGTCCTCTCCCCAGCCACCTCCGTCAGCTCTTCCGAGGGAACCCCAAGGCGTTCCCAGGCCAGCCGGGTGATGTAATCGCTCCAGTGTGTCCTGGGGCGGCCCCGAGGTCTCTCTCGGTTGGACATGCACGAAACACCTCCCAAGGGAGGCATCCGGGAGGCATCCTTACCAGATGCCCGAACCATCTCAACTGGCTCCTCTCGATATGGAGGAGCAGCGGCTCTACTCTGAGTCCCTCCCAGATGTCCTCACCCTATCTCTAAGGCTGAGCCCAGCCACCCTGGGGAGGAAACTCATTTCGGCACATGAGCTGACTGGCCCCCGCGGCCTTGCAGCCACAGCTCGCAATAGCCGCCTCGACAATGGCAGAGTGGAACAAGGCCCATTCGGACTCAGTGTCCCCCTCTGCCCTCGGGACGTGGTCGAAGCTCTCCCGGAGGTGGGAGTTGAAGATCATCCGCCAGGCGTTCCCAGCAGACCCTTACTGCTCGTTTGGGCCTGCCAGGTCTGCGCGGCATCCTCCCCTGCCACCTGATCCAACTCACCACCAGTTGACAGCTCTGCTCCTCTCTTCACCCGAGTGTCCAGAACATATGGTCGCAGGTCAAATGATACGACTGCAAAGTCAATCATTGACCTGCGACCTAGGCTGTCCTGGTGCCACATGCACTGATGGACATCCTTATGCTCGAACATGGTGTTAGTTATGGCCAAACTGCGACCCGCACGGAAATCCAATGACTGCACACCACTTGGGTTCAGATCGGGCAGGCCGTTCCTCCCAGTCACGCCCCTCCAGGTCTTGCTGTCATTGCCCACGTGAGCGTTGAAGTCCCCCAGCAGAACAATGGAGTCCCCGGTCGGGGCGCTGTCCAGCACCCGTCCCAGGGACTTCAAAAAGGGTGGGTACTCTGAACTGCTGTTTGGCGCATAAGCGCAGACAACAGTCAGGACCCGTTCCCCGACCCGAAGGCTCAGGGACGCATCCCTTTTGTCCACTGGGGTGAACCCCAACATACAGGCAGAGAGTCTGGGGGCTATCAGAAAGCCCACCCCGGCCCTCCGCCTCTCACCCGGAGCATCTCCAGCAAAGGAGAGAGTCCAACCCCTCTCAAGGACTTGGGTTCCAGAGCCGGAACTATGTGTCGAGGTGAGGCCGACTATATCTAGCCAGTAGCGCTCAACCTCTTCCGCAAGCTCCGGCTCCTTCCCCACCAGAGAGGTGACATTCCATGTCCCAAGAGCCAACTTCCGTAGCCGAGGCCGAGCCCATGTAGCAGGTTCGGGCTGGGCCCGGCCGGACCCCATGGGCAAAGGCCCGGCCACCAGGCGCTCGCCCACGGGCCCCAGCCCCAGGCCTGGCTCCAGGGTGGGGCCCCGGTAACCCTCTGGGCCGGGTACGCCAACTCTTGTTATTTTCCATCATGAAGGGTCTTTTGAACCGTTCTTTGTCTGACCCTTCGCCCAGAACCAATCTGCCATGGGAAACCCTACCAGGGGTGAAATGCCCCCGACAGCAAAGCTCCTAGGGTCACCAGAGGTGAGGGGAGCCATCAGGCTGAAGAAGGAGGCCTACAGGGCATGGTTGGTCTGTGGATCTCCAGAAGCAGCTGACGGGTACCGGCGGGCCAAGCAGAGCGCAGCAGCAGCAGTTGCGGAGGCAAAAACTCCGGCATGGGAGGAGTTCGGTGAGGCCATGGAAAAAGACTATCGATCGGCTCCAAAGAGGTTCTGGCAAACCGTCCGGCACCTCAGGGGGGGAAGGCGGCAACTTGCTCACATTGTTTACAGTGGGGGCGGGGAGCTGCTGACGCCAACTGGGGACATTGTCGGGCGGTGGAAGGAATGCTTTGAGGAGCTCCTCAATCCCACCAACACGTATTCCAGTGAGGAAACAGTCACAATGGACAGTATGGTATTGTATAGGTTGTTTAGCCATCCCTGAGTATGTATGCATTTATGGTATTTATGTAAAATATTAGCTTTTACTCTAAGTCCCACAGAGGTCACGCACTCTCAACTGTCTGAACCACTTAGTGAAAACAGACACCGAATGAAAACTGAAATGCAATGATGTATCATTTTTTCCCTCTGGTGCGACCAAATTAACCAAACTACAGGTGTGAAAGCACCCTTAGTCACTCTTGAATGTTTTTTATGAATATTTTCTTCTGTTGCATTGCAAATTAAGTTTAGTTCTTCTGTTTTTTATTGCTTTTCAGGTCTTTGAAATACTAAAAAGAACAAAATGCAAGGCCAAGTACAGCATGGGTAAGTCTGGATCTCTGTCTCTCTCAGTGGCCTTGTGTTGACTGACCAGTTTAATACTCAATATCTTGTCTTGTTTTTAAAATGATCGAGTCTAGTGATTTGAACCAGATGGGTGTGGGTTATGTTGAAATCACAGAAAATAAATTTAGAAAGTTATGTTATTTCAACAGTAGCTATTCTGTCCATGATGGATAGTGGTAGGTTGATCCAACACCCTTGCCCCCTGTGCAGCGTGAAGCTTTGTGGTGTTTGCCCATTGGTGATGAAAGTGGTTAAAGGTGATGTGTAGCTACAGAATCTTGATGCAGTTGATAAATGATTCCTCAAAGCCAAATTTGTCTCTACCAAAGGCTTTTTTGGCATCCAGGGTGGCTATGATGATCCCTGACTATAACAGCAACCCAGTCTCACTCTGAAGTCATTGAAATCTAGCGCTTGGCCAGTGACTTCCGGCATCAGGCAAGGACAATAAAAGCTGCCCTTTCACATCAGCATGACACATGGATGCAGCAGGACAACAACGAAAGTTAACACTGCGGAAGTCCAAGTATGGTGGGCGTGAAGAGTGATAAATGGGTCCAACAGCCACCTACACCTGGGAGTGTGATGTTTGCTTCCTGTAAGATCCTAAAGCCAAACCCTGTTCTATGTTCCTAAACTCAACCACATGCTTTTGTTGCCTAAATCCACGGGTGTGTTGGCAAAACATAACCACGCAAATTTGTCACTGAAGGAAAAAAACCTCAGTTTGCATTGTTGTACCGACATAGTGCTTTTCTTTTGAAAGAGACTGCATACAAACTGTACATTTCCTGTGAAAACAGAAGTATATTTTGAAAACAGACAATGCATGGAACAAGCAGAAATTGAAATGGCGCCCCAGAACGTCAACAACCAACGCACCCAGGGTATGTCGATATGCAATGAGGTCAGAGTGAGAATGTGTTGGTTATAATGATGAACAATGCATTAAATTAATGCTGTGTGTGTGTTACAGAGGAGTAACTACCTTTTATGAACCTGAGTCTGATCTGAATGGATTATGGATGTAGTGACTTTTTCTGTCCTGTGAATTAATTTCTATATCAACGCTGATGAGAGAAATGGGAAGGTAACTTGATAGGAAAGTTGGGTCTTTGTCAGCCTTTAGATGGAGTGAAATTGTGGCTGTGTTCATGTTTGCTGGAAGTCTTGAATTTGCTTTCATTTCCGTTATTAGTGTTTGAAGACTGTTGCTAGAATGGACTGCTTATAGAACTCAGCAGGGAAACCACTGGGTCCAGGTGCTCTGTTATTTGGGGCAATTAAAAGTTCACCCTGTGTCACTGGTTAACCAAGTATGTTGGGTTGTTCTTTACTAAGCTATGGTAAGTCAATAAGGCTGAAAAATTACTTGATGTCTAAAACCTTCCTTAATGTGCATAAGCCGGTGTTGTCTATGTCCACCTGCAGCTCTGCCAATAATTTGGTCTTTGGATCAGTAGCTGTCAGCTGGAAACTGGACTGCCTCGATTGCTGCTAGCTTAGCTAGGTTTGTTTTTAGCCTGGTGGCTAGGCTAGCCAATTGCAATTCTGTCAAGGATTTTTAGGAATTCTGCCTTTGGATTTTACTCTCCTATTCCCATGCTGAGTGTACAGACACTACTCACTCACTCCACTTAAGAGACTGAACTAGGATGCTGCAAGTTTGCCTGGTTTGTTTTTAGCCTGGTGGCTAGTTTGTGCCTGTCGCTTCCTCACTGAGGATTTCAAGCTTTTAGCACTTTTATGGAATTTTAATCTTTTACTCCCCACTATCCCTGGATGCCTACCTCCTAACTTGTGTAATCCCTGGAGAAAGTGGGGGTAACTCTCGAAGTATGCATACCTCCTCGTTCATTTCTAAGATCAAGTCAGATCTCTCATTTCGGTCCTTCTCCAGTGTCAGGCTGACCTCTGCTCTTGGCTATCCTCGTTAGAGTACCCCGAGCTGACCAGTCTACCAACTGAGGTAACACACTAGGTCGACCTGGCTGTTTCACGTGGGCCTCGTGGTTGACAGCAATAATAGACGCTTCCTTCCCCTCTATGATTCCCAGGATGATTCCACCATTTTGGAGCTGTCTAACTTCTTTGCTCCTCTGGCTGATGTACCAATGTCACCTTCACCGCTGCTGAGTAGAGGTTGTGCTGAAGGGAATTGCAAAGCTGGTATTATTCCAAATGGCTCAGATCATCGTGCAATTACTCAAGCACTGGCATGCCTCTCCATCTGACAAGTGCCCTCGAGTGTGTCTCTCCTCTGCAATGGAGCTTCTGCCCCAACACCTAGAGCTCCAGCTAGTGTGCCTGGCCATCGTCCCTCCAGCCAGGTGGCTGCACCGCTGGATCTGCCAAGCATTACTGGCACTGATGCTAACTGGGCTAGCCTGTTTAGTGCGGCTTGTCAGCTTCCAGCAAAACTAGCCTTCTACAACAGTGGTGTGGTAAGCAGCAATCCAGAGATTTTGATTGTAGGTGATTCTGTCATTAGGTATTTGACTCTCCCTGGTGCTATTACCCATTGTACCTCCGGTGGCAAGGTTGTCGATTTAATTGAACTCATTCAGACTCTCACTGACCTGCATCCCACTGTTAACATTGTTTTACAAATGTGGGAATGAATGATGTCATGGCTAGAAATTCCAGCAAATCACATGCAGACCTTGAGTCTCTGTGCCATACAATTGAGAGTCTGGGTAAATGTTTTCTGTTGTCCGGCCCCATTCCAACTCTCTCCAAAAGCTTTGAACATTTTAGTTGACGCTTTAGTCTACGTCACTGGTTAAAAAACTTCTGCTCTGCTGCAGGATATGACTTCTAACTTTGATTACTTCCGGACTAAAACAAGCCTGTACAGAGCGGATAGTGTATATCAACAGAAAAGGCACAAAGCAGCACAAATTTCATCCAGTAGCATTTTCATCCTGATATGCACTCCGGCAAGACTCGATCCAGACTTCTGTGTCTCCCACTAACACATCAGCTATAAACTGTGTGAATCCTGCCACAGTGTGCTTTGACTCTCATATAGTCTAAGTGTGTGCTGACTAAGTGGATTTGTCAACCTTAATTAACAGTTCCACTCACTCAGCACACACTTTAAACATGGCTCTTCTCAATGTCCGATCCCTTACTAATAGAATCTTCATTGTTAATAATATTATAGTTAATAATATTATAAAATCTTATCAACTTGATTGTGTTTTACTCACTGAGACCTGGCTTGATGAAACTGGTAGTTAGGAGCTGATTGAAGGTTCAATGTCTAAATTTCATTTTCACGCTGTACCAGGTCTAACAAGAAGGGGTGGAGGTGTTGCTGCTATTTTTTTTTTCAGATACTTTATCATGTAAAAGCATAACACTTGGTTATTTTTCTACATTTGAATATGTAGTTTTAATAATCAGATCTGTATATCCCTGTCAAAGGCTCACAGTTTACTGCCCTCCTAGACTCAATAAAGGCTTTTCACCTGAATTTGGAGAACTTTTATCCAAAATTACTGTTGAATATGACTCAGTTTTTATTTCTGATGATTTTAACATTCATGTTGATAACTCTGATGATTATTTTGCTAACCAGTTCGCTGACATGTTGTCGGCCTTTGAGCTCATACAACACATTGCTTGGCCTACACATAATCAAGGTCACACTCTTAAGCGAGTTATTTGTAAAGGCCTTGATATAACCCCATAGTGCATACTACAGTAGATGGATTTAAGATCTTAAGATTTAAGATTTAAGATCACTTTTGTATTGTTTTAATATTACTCTAATAACCAAATATGAACCTGGTTTAAAATTAGTCAAAAGACGGGCCATCTGTGCTACATCGTACAGATTTATTGCTAGATATACTAACTCTGTTAGGTGTAGCAGGGTACAGTCTTTTGTAATGCCTTTTTTGTCATTGTACTTTAACTTGTCATCTTTGTGTGACAGTTTGGTAAATAATTTCAGCATTTCAGTCATGGCCGGATTACCCAATGGGCTTTATGGGCACAGGAAGGGGCACAGCCATGGGCCCAGCCAGAATGGGAGAAAACTACTGTGTAATGTTTTTTCCCCTAAATCCCTCCTCTTCAAATTTCAAATAAATGACACTATGTATAACCAATAAAAATCATGCTGATATATTTTTTTTAACCTAAATAGAATGATTTAATTGGTCAAGTGCAAGTGTGGAAACCATGGTAACAGGCCACTCTGCCTCTGCCCCTACGACTGTCGTCAGCCATAGCAGTGATAAGAGAGTGAAAGATGAGCAAAACAAGTGGTTGTACCAAACATAAGAGGAGAATAGAAAAGGAGGAGGGGGAGGCAACTTTTTTAAAAACGTGTGCCTTCCATCCAAACTTTCTTCCTCAAACGGAGCCAGGAGAATCAGGGTGAAGATTCTTTGGAGTTGGAGAACACCGTGCAAGCTAAGCTAGCTAACCGGGAGCCAGAGCCGGAGGAAGATGCCACAGGAAGCCCGCCACAATCTGTAACGGTAGCCAGCTGCAGTCACAGCACCGGCAGCTAGTGGATGTAGGAAGTGTTGGACCCGGCGTTGTGGGGTGAAGTGAGTGAAAACGCGCGAGCTGTTCTTATTGATCGTGGACCTGCAGCCTTCCATAACCGCACGAGCAGATACCCAGCATCAACTCGTGATGGCGGTTTGGGCGGTAAAGTGTGCTCATTCACTAACGATCTGCTGTACAGCCGTCTACAAAATGGAGAAAAACCTGTGACTGGATCACCTAAACTATTCACCATCCACAGGTAGCCTAATATTTTATGCTTTGCTTGCATGCCCTTTTCAACGAAGAAAACCCAGTTTCTTAGTGGCTACTCTGACTGGAAACACCCCAAACGTCTGTGGGATCACAAGAAAAGCACAGAGCACTGTAGCCGCATGCTGGCTTTGCTTCAGCAAATGGCGCAGACAACCATTCACGCTCACAGACAATTTAGAGTTATCAATTGACCTAATCCCCAATCTGCATTTCAAGCTGGAGTGCCCGGAGAGTACCCACGCTGACACGGGGAGAACATGCATCCGCTCAGAAGGGCTCCCACACCCGGGATTGAACCAGGAACCCGCTTGCTGTGAGGCGACAGTGCTAACCACCACACCACACCACCGTGCTGTTTTGTATCCTTTTTTTTATTACCAGTAAATGAGAGTAGAGATAATAAAGAAGGAGGAGACAGAAAAAGAGAGACAGCCCTCAGAGAGCCAAAGACAGGACACAAAGATCATCTGGAGACAGAGCAGAAAAGCCATATTAACAGGTATGTGTATGTGGGTTTGTGTGTGAATTATGGAAGATTCTGAATCCACAATCTGGACTTGTGGAGGTGAAGCAGTTTGTGTTTTCAAATGCTAATGAGTAACAATATAAGCTGATTTCGTGATATTGTTGCTTGGCGAGGAAAGCGTTGTTGCAATTATGTGTAAATCCTGTATGATGAAGGATATCTGCAGGTGTCGATTTTGTCCTTCTTTGTGATCATATACAGTGACTGTGCCCTGTCAGTGTAAATCCTGTATACATTACAGGTGTTTCCAACAAATAGCAGTCCATAATACAAAACATTTTGGATAGTCCAGTGGGTTGTGTTGCTTTTGCTGCTGACAAGATTGTTGGTAAACAGACTCATTGCAGTGAGTGTTTTGCTGCTTTATTAACCTATATGATGCAGTGCGTATAGGTCTTTTTGGTTTTAAACATAATATGAGCGAGACTAAGCTGTAACATTAGGCAGGCCTAAGCCGAACCCCCTCCTCCACTACAGTTTTCAGAGGTTTTCTTTACGGGAGTCAGGTAGAAGTTACCAAATTTCATTTCATTTCATTTAACCTTTATTTTAACAGGGAGGTCCATTGAGAGCGAGCTCTCTTTCTCAAGGACGCCCTGTATGTACCACAAAAATACACAATTACAGAGTTAACAGAGTTAAATACAATATATGAAAATACATGCAATAAAATGAAAATTGCCTAAATAAAGACCTAACTTCATCCCAAGGGCTCAACTGTGCTCAGAGTATGAATGTAAAATGCCTCTCTGCAGAGCAGTAAGTTAATAATGTATTCTTTTCTGTACCCCAGAACTTTGGTGATGGTGCAGAGCAGTGGCTAGCTTAAGTTTTTAATCCTAAAGCACACATCTTTGGCTTTCCATCATTTGGATTTTGTAACACTAATTAGCTGGCATGAATTGTGATACCAACTTATCTTCAATAAGCTGAAATAGGTCAACAAAATCAAAGCTCACAAAGCTTAACACATACATGACTTAAATGTAAAATAATTCCGAGGGCTACAAGCCTCATTGACTCTACTGAGGAAGGACCTAAATGGAACCCACATTAACACCTATTTGTTTTCCCTCTGCAGGTATCACCAGTCTGCTGGGTTCTGGTGTCTATACAGCAGCCTATCCTCTTCATGATGTGAGTAATACTAATCCTGGCATTAATAGATTATTATAATAGGTGGTACTAATTCCAAGTCATGTTTATATGCTTGTATTTTGAAGCTGTTATACAATCGGTCACATTTGTGTTATCACTAGAAGATGAAGTGAAAAGTAAGGGTGGGCTGATTGATCTTGAAATATCAATGCTCTCAATACTACATTTAATTTTGAAGATTGATCCTTACGTCAAAAGGATAGATACTAAAAAAGGGCATCTCTCTTCTATGTTGTACATATTTGTATTTCAGTAGTAAAACTGCAAAAACATTCCGTTGTTGTGAACACATCTAGTGAATGTACTCTTTGTCTCTCCGCTGATTTTGTATTGCCTGCACTCAAACAACTTACCTGAGATCCAGCAGTTTTTAGTTTCACTTTCACCCAATGTTGGCAATAGGAGGATGGTAAGACCACCTCCCAGCTCTCCCGTTTACTGCTGTGGGCTGACGCGAACCCGTAATTGTACAGCAAATACAATAGCGTGCACATCTGCATGACCGTAGCTGTCCACGGACATTCAATGCAGATAGTATGTCCAAACCTGACTAGTTTTATCCAACACATAGTAGCAGTGATGACTTAATGAAAGAGGAAAAAACATGAGAAAGAGAACTTGGAGCTGCAACCGAAGTAGGAAGGAAACATCTCAGCATCCACACCTCTGACACAGAGACAGAGTTCACTGGCAGTCCAGGTATATAGTAGCCTAGTGAAATAAATATTCTAGTCAAATCAGATCTTCATCACTGGTTAATGTTACATTTTCACACTGTAATATTTCTCATCCGTTGTTGTTACTTAAGCAGACTGGTTATGTACCTCATAAATTATTACACACTGCTTTCACTCCCACATAAAAAAGCCACTTTAAACAATAAAAAGTAGCATAACAATATCGATATTGGTGATTCTGGCCCTGTATTATTTGATATTGGATCAAAACCTTGTTGTATCGCCCACCCCTAGTGAAAAGATGTCAACACTAGAAAACTACTGTAGCTCAGCATTCCTTCCTACTAGTCCATGTCAGATGATTAAATCTGGTTTACAGCCCTGTCTCAGTGTGCACAGTAACTAGCTTCAGTGTTTCTCTTTCCTTTTTCAGGGAGATATTAATGAGGAGAGCGCAGAGCCCAATGACAGAAAGGTGAGACAGTTGTTTCTAATGGAGACCAGTATAAAAGTCTTTACAGACTGTCGGTCGTGCTTTGCACATGTACAAATGCACATTATTTTGTCACCACTTCAGCTTTCACCTTGCAACACAAACAAATTGGGCCTGCTTGAGCATGATTTTATTTCTCTTGCTATGTAACCCATGTAGATCACCTGCTGCTGGCGTGCATAAGTGCTCTATGAATGCTTTTATCTTCTATCATGTGGAATCCTCCGTAGCCTTGTGAGACCAAATAATTGCAAATCAAAGGTCTACTTTGCTACCTTTATATCCGTCAATCTCCAGAATCAATTTCCATACTCAAGTCTATTTTCCTTGCTGACATTTTTAACAGTTAACAGATGATACACAAATTGGGATAAAAACATGTTTCAAACTTTGAGAAGATGAATGCTGTTATTGTCCAGGTTATTCTGTTCTAGGTGTTTTGGTATATTCTCAGGGGTGAAAGTAGTTTTAAATTCTTGCAGGTACTATTACCAAAACCTTCATTGCTTCATATTGTTCACCTCTCCTCACTTCAAGTGTTTTTAAAAATGTGTTTCAAAAACCAAACAAACAAATAAAAACATTTCAATATTTTACTGTACCTGTATGGAGTAGAAAGAAATTAAAAACACTTCACGTGTAGAGTAAAATATTTGTTTTAATGTTTAGGGTGCTGGCATGTATGAAACATTAATGAACACTTAATACCATGCATGTCATTTTTTTCTTTTTCTCTTTTCCTCTTTACCTATTTTTCGCTGTAAAAAACATTGATCAAAGTCCGCAATAAACTATTTAAATATTTACTATTTAAATCTCGCTGACAGTGTTTGAGCCAACCACAAGAATGTGTGGAATTTCGTTGGTTTCATTTATTGTTTGTCCTGTCCCGGTGCAAACGGCATTTTTTGTCGTCCATGGTCCAGTTGTGGAAAAATCAAACGTCCCAGTACAGGAAGTAGACACGCATGCGCAGTCACGTACTGCTGAGAGTGAAATCCCTGATCGTTAGCTCACTCGTTCAAGCTGTTCTCTGTGTTGTTGAAATTAAACAAAATAACCTGGAACATATCTGCTTATTATGCTACTGATTTTAATTGGGATATTTTTTGATGAACTGAATGACATTTAACAGTGTTGCACGTCTCGAAGGCTGGGCTCATATCTCCCAGTGGAGGGGCTGGGGGAGAGAGGGAGATGACCGGACAGCGCGGCTCCGTCGAGCATGGACCAAAACACAGCACGGACAGTTCAGAAGCAATTCGGAACGAGTTAAAAGCAATTAATAAACAGACAAAGTGGTGTTTAAAGCTGCATATATTGCTAGCCGATCTATTTTCTGGCCTAACGTGCGGCCTTGACTGGTTCTGAATGTGGGCTTTAGCAGGCAGCTGCTCTCTACTCTTCCTGGTACTGTGTACCGCCACTGAATCTTTAAGTGGTAGTACCAGACCGTACCAGCTTACTTTCACCCCTGTATATTCTGCCATAATAGTTGAATAATAACAGTATAACTGTGGTGACATTTTATATTTTTCTTAAAATGTGAAAGAAAAACATCCAAACCAACAGTGATTAATCCTACTAACAAGTGTTGTGTGTATTTAAAGCCTGATATATCTTCTTCCTCTGTGCCACAGAACTCCATTATAAACACCAGTATAAACACATCAGTGAACCACATCAGTCCCACATACATCATTCTGCTTCTAAGAATACTCATTAGCGTACCACATGTTTATTAATCCACTGCTGAAAATAGTCCCCAACAACTATTTATGACATATTTATAATTACATTAAATCAACAGCCAGTAGCACAGTTTAAAGTTTTCAGCATGTGATTTTAGTTAAAGATGTATACCCAGTCAGATGATGTAAATGACAGGGAACCTTCTCCAGGCCATTTGTGTTTGTCATATGAACTGTAAATCCAGTGGCTTATCCAACTAGCATGGTTCTGAACACAGTTCACAGAAACAGAAAAAGGAAGGCACGAACAAACTTGACAAACAATGCAACAAAATACTGTTTACTGTCTTCCACAGCTGTTGTATGAAGAGTGGGCCAACTACAGTGTTTTCTACAAGTACCAGCCCATTGGACTTGTACGGTAAGGACATATTTCTTAACTGCCAATCTTCCTTGGTTACAGCTCTGATATCAAAGTCCCCCTACTATTTAACAGCCAGGACTTTCATTTTCAAGGACCGTAATTCCAGCTCATTAAATTGTACTTATTACACGGCTCTATTAAATGCTGTATTCTGATTGGTCAGTCGCGGCATTCAGCGGTCTGATATTACTGTGTAATGACCGTTGCTAGTAGCAACGGTCATTACACAGTTGCTATGTAGCCCAGCGTTGAAGTGAAGTGGCTGATTTTAACATTTCTTTTAACTTATTTGGAGAGTATCTATAAGGATTTTGAGGAATGGGATGCCGCTAAAGAATAAGAATACGGACTTTCTCTGCCAAAAACAAAAGAAGACGGATTTGAATACACACTCGGCAGTCATGCTTAATGACATTTTACGCGAGTTTTATGCCTCGGTTCAGTCCACTAAGCCTGGGTGAGTACAAAACTTTCACCAAAAGTTGTTGAATCCGGTCGGTTTTAATGCACTTCGCGGAGGCAGACAACATTATTTATTTAACTGATAATTAGCCGTGTAATAAGCGGGATAATGTATAATGAGCCGGTGAATACTGGGAAAATAACTCCCGACAGGGGAATAGAACCCTGACGCGCAGTGATTGTTGTGGCCTGAAATGTCTGATTTCACAGCATGATTTCAAAATAGCAATGCATGTTGCAATGTTTTTATGACTCAGTGCTGGTGACAGCCGTGGCTGGAAGCATTATGTTTTCAGGTTGTCTGTCCGTTGTGCATACGTCTGTACCTCCACACATAAATACAAGGTAGGGACGTACGTTCGTCCCATTCTTGTGAATGCGATATCTCAAAAACAGCTTGAGGGAATTTTTCCAAGTTTTGCAAGAATGTTCACTTGGGCCCAATAATTAACTGAGTGGTTTTTGATAGCGATAGGTGACCTTGTCTGTCTCATTCTTGTGAACGTGATATCTCAAGAATACATCAAGGACACACCAGTGGACAGGCCATAGGTTATGACCAGGTCCAGGGTGTGTCCTCTGTTGTGAGTTGGCTGTGTGCGGGTTGTTTAAAATCCATGCAGGTTAAAAGGTTTAAAAATTCTCTGAACACTGGATCAGATGTATTATCAACATGTAAATTAAAATCACCAGTTATTAAAATTCTGTTATAGGTGGTGTGTATGATTGATAATAGTTCTGAGAATTCACTGATAAAAGAGGTGGAATGGTGGGGTGGTCTGTAAACGGTGATACAAAAAATAGGAGGACTGCTAAAAACAAAGGCATGGTACTCAAACGATGTGTAGCTGTTAAAAGAAACTTCAGGAGAGTTTAGTGTATTTTTGGTGATTGAAGCAGTTCCGCCTCCTCCTGTTTTACCTTTCCTAGTAGAAAATAAAAAATTAAAATTTGGTGGGCAAGCCTCGGTTAGCATAACTGGTCTGTCAGTGCCAAGCCATGTCTATGTTAAAAGAATACAGTCCAACTTGTTATCTAAAATCAAGTCATTTATGATAAAAGTTTTATTTAAAAGACAGCGTACGTTCAGCACGGCCAAGTTAATGTTTGTGCTGAACGTGCGCTCATCGTCACAATGTAGTGAGTGTGAAGCAGGTGTGACAGGAACTAAGATTTTTGGGTTGCTATTGGTCCATGGTGAAGCTGGTCTATTAAATCTATTTGAGATTCTGACTGGGATGCATATGGATGTGGGAATGGATTGGCGATGAACCAAGGAGGAAAGCAGGGGGGCGTGTGCTTCCGATGTACGCAACTGTCTGTCACATGGGGCACACGGCTCAGAGGTAGAGCGGGTCGTCCACCAATCGAAAGATCAGCAGTTCGATCCCGGGCTCCTCCAGGCTGCATGTCGAAGTATCCTTGAACAAGATACTGAACCCCAAATTGCTCCCGATGGCTGTTCCATTGGTGTGTGAGTGTGTTAAAAACTGAGTAGCCTCGGCCACCAGTGTATGAATGTGTGTGTGAATGGGTGAATGTGACTCGTAGTGTAAAAAGCACTTTGAGTGGTCACTAGATGACTAGAAAGGTGCTATACAAATGCAGGTCCATTTACCATTACTGTACAGCGTGCAGTTGCTAACATGCGGCTGCCCAGCCTGCTCGGATGGGGACCGTCAGCCCTGACCGGGGGCCGGTTCCAAAATAAGTTAAAATTGTCGATAAAAGTAAATCCCTAAGTGCTACAGGCAGCCTGGGTCCAGTAATTGAGGGCGAGGAGCCTGCTGAAGCATTCTGCACCGCGGGACAGTGTTGGCAGGGGACCTTCCCACAGTTTTTTAAAAGGTTAAAAAGAGCAACAAAATTCATTTTTGTCAGCTCTGATTGATTGCCGGGGAGATAGCCCAAATGAAAAATTTGCCGCTTTATGGAGGAAGGGACTGAATGAAGCAGTTTGGGAAGTTTGTCAAGGGACTGTGGCTCCAGGAAAGCAGTGAGTTGTGGCATTGAAAAAATGAATAAAAAAAAGAGGACGAAGAGGAACAGGATGGGGATTGGGGGACTCACACGAGGCAGGTGGACGGTCCATGCTGCATGACCGGGGGCGGGGCAGGAGCTACAGCGACTCGGCAGTCCCGGCCCCAGCAGGAGGATCGTCATCCCGGCTGTGGGAGAGGAGTCCCCCAGAGCGTCTCAGTACAGCCTCCTTTAGGAACCTCCGACACGCCACGGAAGCCGATGCCCGGGAAGGGAGTCGATGGTCGGGTCCTGCAACAGCGGCACTCCGGTCCTCAACAGGTGCCAGCGAGGAAGACGCGGATCCATCCGTGCAGAGCGCTGCAGGAGTACCACTGGTCGGTGGAGAGGGAGCCACAGCGCCGTTAGACGCTGAGGCAGACCCCTCCAAGCAGGGAGTGTCTGGATCAGCACCGGCCGGCGAGGAAGGAGCCCAATGCCAAGGCGCTGTAGCTGTTTGACAGGCTGAGGCGCGGAAGTGAGGCAGCACAGTCAAGGGCTCTCTTACCCTGCCGACCACCTCCATCCAGGACCACCAGCGACTCAGTGTTGAGCTTGAGGACGGTGGAGGCCAAGCAGTGGGATCCCAGTGCACCGTGTCCTGAAGGGCCGCTTTGAGTGAGGTGATCTGGAGTGACTGTTCACGAGCCACCTCCTGGAGGGTGGTCAGCGTGGAGGATTTGTCATTTAGCTCACCAGAGAGCCGGTGAATATTCTCTTTCAGGTCAGCAATCTTTTTGTCTGCTTTTTCAAGCTGGGGGTCCACATTAGGGTGCCATGTATGTATCGCTGTGTTGTCAGCTGGCGGAAGTTTTCGCACCTGTCAAGCAGGCCAGGCAGTGTCTGGCTGTTAAAACCCCTAATGCATGGACATCCAGTGATTAAAAGATAACATCCGATTAAAGGAGATAAATAAAAACAACTGATGTCCAAGCAGATAGCTTAAAAGTCACTTCCAAGCTAAAATAAATCAGTTTAAAATCGTGGGTTAGGGAGAGCACAGACAGGCAGCTACAGACGCTGACACCATGTCCACTTGGACTCAACAATGAACTAATTAGATTTTGGTGATCAGAGGTCAAAGGTCAAGGTATATGTGACATCTGTGACATTCTTGTGAACGTGACATCTCAAGAATACCTTGAGGAAATTCCTTTACCGGGACCGTCTGGATGTAATAGTCCATGGAGGTGCTGCGGTGCTTGGCTGACAGGATGTACCACTCTCTCTCTCCGCTACTTTGTTTATCTCATGCATTCCTTGGACTTCCGGTTTCCCCTTTTGCATTATTTCCACTCACGCAGGCGCAGAACGTACGTGCTACTTGGCCGTCGGATGTAGTCTTTGTAGTGTGTTCAAATGCAACTGACACAGGGTGACGTAGATGACGCAACAGTTGGCTTTCGTTGCCGCTAGTTCTTTGATGTCAGTTTGGTGTGTCAGCACCTTAACACAGCACAACGTGATCCCATCCCTACTTCTCATAATATGCTGCTTGGGCCGAAGCCCCACAGTAGCTGTTAACATCCAACACCAACCATAAATCTCAAACTGACACAGAAACAGCTCTACTCTGTCGTTAAACCGGTTGGTAACCTTTGGGTAATGTTACCCTTGCATTGCTAACAGTTAGCCCTGTCAGTGTGTGTGTGTGATTCTGTCCTCCCAGGTGCAGAGCTCACACTCCTGCAGTAGTAGTCTCATGATGATTAGAAAGAAAGAAAGAAAGAAAGAAAGAACGAAAGAAAGAAAGAGAGAGACCTGCTGAGCAAATCAATACACAGCACGCAGCTCTCACTGAAATGAGATTTTACCCATTTTATATGGCAAAATTTGCTGTGAAGCTGTGGTGATCGGACGAAATTTAAAGGTCATGCAGAACTCATGGTGATTAAATGAATTTGCGTTAATTGTTGCAATTGCTGTTCTATTCTTGTTCATTGGTGAATTTGTTGCAAATCATTTGTCCATGTTTTCTTGGTACTGATTTATGAATGTGTAAACAGTACTCATTCTCAAATTACAACCTTTTTACCAAAGACAGGTTGTAGTGAGCAGGTGGTGTGTGGAGGAATGTTTTACTCAAAAATAACACAGCTAAATTGGTCAGAGGTAAGTTTTATGTGTTTCATGTTTACAACTATTCAAACATAGTACGTATTTGTTTACGAATGATGGCTACAACGCATATCCCGCTCTCCTATTCAGAGTGCTGGCTGCGTGCTTCAAATGCCCCAACAGGCTGTTCACACATCAGGGTTTCTGCTACATGTAATTGATTTTTGTAATTGATCGCAAAATAAAAGCCGCCACGCATTCAGAATTCTGATTTTTTTTTTCTCTTCACATGTTAAAACAATGTAAAGTATATTGTATGAATGGATATATATATGTGTATATATATGTGTGTGTGTGTGTGTGTGTGTGTGTGTATAGCCTATATTTGTGCACATATACTTACCATAATCGGATTTTGAAATGATAATTTAAATATCATCATATCAATGTTATGTGAC